AGAACCACTGGTCTACTTTATTTAAATGTGCATGTTATTCTAGAATGGCTTGATGGGAGGCTTCTTAGCAGGAGCCCAACTGTAACTGGAGAGTTGTCTGTGAGGTTGTGTCACAGGAGCACTGGGGTGCCCTGTTCCTATGGGTCACAGGAGCACCTGGGTGCCCTGTTCTGATGAAGGAATAAGGGCTGCTGAAGCTCCTTGAGACACCACAGGTGTTGGTTGCCGGAGCAGCCAGGCTGGGCACATGACCAGAAGGGGGCAGGGCCGGGCCTTTATAAACAACCCAGGCAAAAGCCTAGTGGCAGTTCCCTTCTGGCAGTCTGAGGTGCAGGAGAGCCAAGCAGAGCAGAGACGAGTGGTGCAGCCTGATCACCCAAGGGACTGCATCATGGTAAGGGTGGAGAGAACCCGGAATGGAAGGCCTTGGCAAGAGAGCCAGGTAGGCCTAGATCCTATGGTATAGCCAAGAGGCTTATTGTTGCGTTACAGCCGATTGGCTTATGGTTCTGTTTAGTTATTGTTATACTGGAGGACCGGGAGAGGCTGTAGGGGTGGAGGAGGCCTCATCAGGAGCTCCCCAGGGAGGTGGGGTGCTCCCAGCACCAGAGAGGGGTGCTGTATTGTGGGGTGTCTAGACCCTGGCACCAGAAGGGGTGAACAGATTGAGAAGCCCGGGGAGGGCACGTTTAGTGAGAGGAAGCCCAGCATGGGCATAGGTAGCAGCCCCAAGGGGGGCAGGACCCAGAGTAAGGGGTCAAGGGGGCCAGGTAAGGCTAGGACCACCTGAGCCCCAGTTGGGAAGAGGCCCGGAGGAGCTCCACAGTGGTGGGGACCCCGGGGCCCGCGAGGGCACTGTAGTAGGGGCGTAGTACCCCAGCCCTGAGAAGAGGCATAGAGGATTTTGGGGGCCAGGCACGGCTAAAGCCACCTGAGCCCCATTTGCAAGGAGCACCAGCAAGATGCCCGAGGGGCTCGTGTTAGGCCCAAGGGGGGACACACAGGAAGAGAAGCCCAGGGTAGGGTGCTACTATAGAGACGAGCCCAGAGGGGGTGAGTCCGCGATTATTGAGAGCCCGGAGAGGGCGAGTGCGCGGAGGGACAGGCCCCAGTGGGGGCATCGTCGGTATGTGGGGAGGCCCCAGGAGGGGCTAGCATATTGAGCAGAACCCAGGATGGGGGGTGGATATAATTAGTAGGCCCAAGAGGGCTAGCGAATAGAGGGGCGCCGATTGCGTGACAAGCCCAGGGGCGCCAGTGAAGGGGCGCCGGTTGCGTGACAAGCCTAGGGGCACCAGGAAGCTGACCAGATAACGTCCAGTACATCTGCGAGGCTTGGGGCGTGCTAAAGGGGAGGTTGGAGGCATGCATAGCCCATAAGGCTGGGGGTGCACCAGGTCACTCCATATGGAATGGGGAGGTAGTATAAACAGAGCACTGTGTCCAAGGGGACTGTAAGGCAGCCTCCCATATAAAACTATATATAACAACAAGACGTGGCAGGCGAGAGAGGGTGCTGGATCGCTTACTTGGCACAGTAGGGGGGTGCTAGAGAGATCACGGCTGCTCCTAGGCCCCACTCCGTGACAGGTTGCCTTTAATTTTCATGGTAGGTTGTATTCTCCACCACCTTGCCATACATTGCAGAATTTGGCTGGGGACCAATGGAAGCAGCCATAGGGGAGGAGAAAACAGATTTGTCCAGAGGCTGAGATAGGTCAAGACTTGAGTCTTGGGAGGCTAGACTTGGACTAGAGAAGGAAGCGGATTCTATGGTACTGTGCCAGATCTGTCAGGCAAAACACCAGAGGGTCATGTATATGGAGATATAGAGGGAAGTGAATCTGTGATGACTGCGGTATGATGGGCTATATGCACAGTTGCTACCAGGTACTTTCTGGACGCTTCAGGTGAACTAAGCAGGAACATGGGGAGATGCCTCCATGTCCTGCCTCTGTCTTGGAAACAGGATGAAGAGAGTGGATGGATGTGCCCTAGTCAAAGGAAATTGTCCAAGAGCTGGTCAGGGATTTCTCCATGAAGTGGTGGTCCCTGGTGGTGCTACCTTTGCTAGTTTGGGCACAGGGCTGGGGGCTACTCACTGGTTGTGAGCACTGCTTGGGGTGTGGATGGTACGTATGGCATCCTGGTGGTCCCCAGGAGCCAAGGAACTATAGGGTAGGCTCCTCTGTACCCTTGTTGCTTTTTATAGGGGGGTCATTATTCCCTTCAGCTATGGGCACCCCTTCTATGGCTGCCTTTTGGGAGGAAGAGCCCTATGACACCCCCAGGTGTGGACTTGTACAGTGGGGAGATGACAGAATCTGAGCAGGCAGTGAAGCACTCTGGGTCCAGGTAAGACTGGCCAGTGGTGTGGGCATCCTTCCCTAGAGGCACAGATGGGCTATTTAGCCTACAGCTGGGGCAGAATAGCTGCCCAAGGATCCCTCCTTGAGGTCAGAGACCTGCCCTGGGAAGTCAGAGATACAGGGTCAAACCCCATTTAGATGGAGGGGCCTGTCACCTAGTTATCCCCATGTCCTGTGCAAATGTCTGAGACATTCAATTATTGGGGCTAAAACATGGGAAGGTCCACCTGTTCTGGAGTTTAGCACACCCATGGACGTTGGCATGCCTTGTGTGGCACAGCACTTGCAGTGCCTGCCACTTTAAGGTCTGAGTCAGGCATCCAGCAGGTGCCTGATGGTGGCAGCCATTTTGAGAACCTAGTATATAAAGGCTGCAGTCTGCTGCTGCCAACTGAGGCAGAAGTATTGTTTGGCTGAGTTGCAGCAGGAACATCCAGGAGGTAAGGGCAACAGCTTATGGGGATGGGTCCCCATAAGGAAGCTCTTGGTCCTGGGTATAACCTAAAACTGCACCCTGCTGGGGATGGGTGGCCTGGTAGGGCTCCTGGTGGTGCAGGAGCCCTCAGGAAATGCCAGGCCAGTTACCACCCTGGTGAAAGGTGGATTGGTGCGCCTTAACCCCTAGCCCCCACAACACTGGGTACAAGGGGCCAGGCATGGCTATGGCTATCTGAGCCTGAAGAGGGTGTAAGATCCAGGTGGGGCTAGGCATGGTTGTGGCTGCCTGAGCCTCCACAGGGGAGGGAAACCCTAGAGCCCTGAAGGAGGGGGTAGATGTGTAACCCCAAAGAGGAGGTGGTAGTTGGGACCTGGGAATAAGTTCAGTAGGGCTGAGGGCTAGTCTGAAGGGCAGCACATGGTCCAACCCCCTGGACAGCAAGTTGAGAGAAGCGTGGAGCCCCAGAAAGGGGACACAGAGGGCTGGGAGCTCAGTGTTTGGAGCTGGGGGCCCAGCATGTGCTTATGTATGTTTATGTAAAGCTGCCCTGGGAGGGACCAGGGCAAGCCTGGCCCAGGTCAGGAACTGGGCTAGTCACTACCCAGGTGAGGGTCACAGGAGAGGCCCAAGAGACTGTACATCTGCCACCCAAGGCATGATCAGAATAAAGCCTATTGCCTACAGGAGATGCTCTAAGAGGAAGCAGGGCAAAACAAGTTCTTGATGTGAAAGAGAGACCCTGTGAGAGGGGGTGAAATGTGAGAGGCCCTTGTGAGAGAAGGGCAGAGTGAATGTGTGTGAAAGAGGCCTGACAGAGGGCTAAGCTTGGCCTGGATCTAGGCTGGGAGCATAATGAACCATGGATGCTATCTGTGAGGTATGGGCTGTGGTGTAGGTGAGGTTGAGCCACAGATGGCACCCCCTGGCATCAGGGCAAATAATGGGCAGTCTCCCACATTTTGCCACCTGGGCTGAGAACAGGAAAGTCGTGGCAGTGTAGATTGGGCAGACTGCCCTGCAGACAGGTAGGCAGGCTGGCATAACACCTGGCCCCGAGAGCTGCCCTTTGTCACATCTTGGATGCAGGTATGCATTCAAAATTGTTGCACATATGTAGTTGTATACTTAACTGGTCAGTATAGAGACTAAGTATGTTCAGTCTACATGTACACTCTTACATGTTGGGACTGCAGGGCAAATGTGTAAATGCCAAACAAACCACTTGCATGGCTAGAAAGGTGCTATTTAGGTGCAAAAAGGTAAGAGAATCCCACCCTTCACTTGTATCCAGACTCTATATCACAGATTTCTCCTTTACTGGGGAGCCCACCTTTTTGTCACAGGGCGTTTTCTACTGCTACATAAAAAAGCAACCATACAAAGCTATATTGTACAGAATATCTGGTTCTGGATTGGTAACTTTCTTTCCTGGAAAAAATACATATGCTGAGATTTCTCTTTTCATTTTGTTATGCAGTGAGGCTAATTTGGAACTTGGGAATAAAAATTCTGATTCCACTAGAAGGAGCTCCTGTGCCTTGTAGTGTTTAAGCATTCTATTGGGTTGCTGAAAATATTTTATTTTAGTAGAACTAGTGGGGGCACTTTTCTGATATAGCCATTTCTTATGTGATTAGAAAATGGTACAGAACTGGGAAACTATTTTTCACAAGACAAGATTCTGCTATTTCCCATCTTATACAATTCCAGCAAACTTATTGGCAAGAGTTTTCACTAGCACTTGCTCTTCTCTTCTGTTAACAGCAGCAGTAACCGCAGTGTAGTGACACCTCTTCTGTCTCCAGTTACACCTTGATTGCTGTTTGAGTTGCATAGCATCTAGGTTATATGGCTTCCCTAGTTTCTCATCAGGATGGCAGGCTATCTGATATATTAGGAAGTGAAGTAGCAAGACAGTGACAGAAAAAATTACTTTGTTCCTTTGTAAGGAGCTGAGGCTACCTCCAGCATTTGGAGAATGCACAATCAGGTATGTAGTATGTTCTAGACTACTCCCATCAAATGCACACGCACATCCTGGTCAGTATTTATGATTTTGCCAGCATTTGCAGTGGAACAAATCCTGTCTTGGTATAAATGCAGTGCTCTTGCTGAAATCTATACAGAGCAATCTGGCTCATAGTTTTGACCTTTGGAGGAAATGAACACAAACAGGAAAATGCACAGTGTTCTTGCTATTTGATCTTTTATTGTTACATTTCTATTTAATTTGTTATTGCCTTATGACTCCTACATCATGACTGCCTGTCAATCCAAGTCTAATCTAACATTAATGTATATCTGTAATGTAAATACATATTTACTATACTGAATTTTGTTCTATAATCTCAGTATAAATCCAGAGAACCAATTCAACAAGCAGAATTTGGCCCACTTTTTCCACTCCCCTTTTTTATCCCCCAAAAGAAATGAAAAGTTCTATTGCAAACTGTTGTCATAAGCATGTTTCTAAATGATACACAATACTCGGTAATTAAATGTATATGTAGATCTGATTTGCATGAATAAACATAATGGTGTATGCATATGAAGGATTACAAAAAGTAAATGAGGTTGGGCCTTGAATCATTTTTCTTATGGGAAAACCAGTGCAGAGATGGTTTCAAGTATATATTATTTTGAAATACCCACATTTTATTGCCTAAATTATCTCAGGCAAAGCAAATTCTTTATATGCACCCAAAACAGCTATAGAACAACTATTTTTTTAACTATGCAAATTCAGTAGACTGTGTTAAGAACTTCTGCCTTTTAGCTTATTTAAGTAGGAGTAATAACTTGGCAGCAGCTTTTGGACTTACTTTTGTCCTGATCTTATTATTGACTAAATATTAGGCACTTTTCATAAGTATGTCCAGCATTTTACTTCCTTCAAATTTGTTTTGCCTGCAGATAAGACCTTGCTTTATATCAATAGTCTCATTCAGGGTAATTAGATGATATAGGAAAGCTGCATCAGTATATCACTTGCTGGTTGGATGATGGAATCTGTGACGGTGTGAGATGAAGCTCTCCATCTTTGCAGCCTTTTCCATCTTGATAGTCAGGCAAACAAGATCACTTGGCACTTGTTCAAGCAGTTAAACATAATATTTAATATAAAATATAAGATTAGAGTCAGATAGTTGCTGATTGATATCAAAGTGTAATTACATGTCTAAATTGTTCATAGTTACAAATAAAGATCCAGAGGATCAGAAACAGCTCTGAATTAGAGTTAAATAAGATGTATAACCATGATCACATAGATGGATAGACACACTTGTGTATAGGTCCTTAGCCTGCCCTACTGGCTTATAACGGTGCGTATATATCTTATAATACAGTCATTTTGTCTCTTATACCTTAAGAAAACATATTTGCTAGTGGTTACGCAGACACTTTCACTATTGAATGAACTAATTCATTTACCACAAAAGATAAAAACTGTTTCCAGCTAATCTATTATCAGAGTTGAAACTGTATATTAGGCTTGCCAGTGCATCTGGCATGCTCTTTATTTGGTGAGCTGGTACAATTAGAATGCCAGAATGTGGCAGTTGTTAGGCTTCAGAGATAGGCATCATTAAGTAATCCTCATGACATGTGAACGCTCTTCGAAATAAAGGACTGTGTTGCAATTAGCTGAGGCGTTAGAGGTGCAGCATACCTGGGATTTTATGATTTAATTGTACTGCTTTTCTCCTTTACTGAACTCCTTTGAATATGGCAAATCTCATTCTTCCATTCTCTGTTTAAATATCATTGTCTGAACAGTCATGAAGAGCTGTAGATGGTAATGTTGCTCAGCAAGAGATGACCAGTGGGTTAGACAGAGACTGGTGGCTCTGGGTCTTCTCAAGAGACTGGCTTTGTAAGAGTTCACATGCCGCCAACTCCTGGTAGAGAGTATCTAGGACTTCAAATATATGGGCTTTTCCTTTAAAAGAAATTGACAAAGTCAGGAAAAGGCAATTGAACAATTACAAACTACTTCTCATTTACAGAGATGGCCTTTCAAACAATAAGCATAGAATTTCCAAATATTGAGAACAAATAATGAATTCTCCCACACATCACAATTATACAGAGAGGTACTATATGCACAAATTGATCCCTCTGCATGCTTCCTACTTGAAACTCCCTCCTCACTGGTCCCCAACCTCCTTGTTTGAACAAAGACAGATATCAAATGTATTGGCTGTCTGAGATGTACACTGCCTTATATCAGGTAAACTTGCTGAAACTGAGATGGGTACAGCCTGCTGACTTAAATGCCTTCTCATCATTCAAGTCAAGACTAGACACAAGTCACAGCAGTCTGGAAGAAACTACTCCAATGAGCTATTGGCATAGTTCTCACTTCTCAAACAGTGAAAAAATGGTTGACTACAAAGCTGCTGGACTGGTACAAAGCCAGTCCAGAGCAGAGGAAACCTAGGTACACCCTGGGGAATTATTCAAATATGCGCCCACACAATTTTGCACATAAAGTATGACCATACATAATTCCATAATTTTGCATAATTTAACCTAGGCAGGCTCTGTGCCTCCACAATCGGGGGGGCTCTGGCTGCCGCAGCCATGAGCACCCCAAGGGCCTGCCATCTGCTGCTGCCAGTGGCGGGAGCTGTGTACCATGGGGGGATGGGGAGTAGAGCATGTGATGGAAGGGGTCATACCCACCCCACATGCACCACCCCCCCTGCTGGCAGGAGTTCCCCTCCCCACTCAACAGCTGTCCAGGTGTGCACCACCACTCAGTGCCTCCACATGGGAGTGCTGGAAGCCCCAGGGGGAGGCACAGAGACGGCCTGGCCTGGCAGCACATAGTTCCTGCCTGCAGTGCCACAAGCGCCATGTGGCATGGAGCCAACCTGGTTTGGCTCCCAGGTGTGTGCCAGCAGGCCAGGCTGGGCTGGCTCTGTGCCACCGCATACAGGCCCAGGACTTGGCATGTAATTTTGAATTACTGTGTGCATAGTTCTCTGGGGTGTACCTAGGCAGTGGAGATGTAGAATGCTAGAAGAGCTTCATTTGTTCTTGACTATAAAATTCTGTGGGGTCAATTATGCATTTCAGGAGGCTGAACTGTGCTGAGGTAGGGAGGAGGCACTTTGCTTTGGCAGTGCTACTTGGAGTCTTTGGGCATTTTTACACATGCTGGGATGCAGCGCCAGGAGTTTTTAAATTAGCAAGGCACACTAATTAAAAGTGCTTGTGCATTGCTGCAAATCCCTATACTGAAAAAACGGCAGCAGAGAACTTTTGAACTAAAGCTTATTGAATGGGTTTTATTTCAAAGCACCCCACTGACATTTTTTTCAGTGCGGAGATGTGCAGGGACACTGATACACATGACACAGCAGGCTGCCAGTGCGTCACTTTCTGTGCTCCAGCAGACTTGATTAATAGAGTCTGCTCTGATGCACTGGATTTCCAGTGTCAGAGCAGGCTCTGTGCACATGTGCAGGAGCCTTTTGTTTCCATGTGTGGTCAGTATAATATCCTATCAGAGTGCAGAGCTGCCAGAACACTTCCTTTGCACCCACAGGAGCTGTTAGCACACCTACGGGTACAATCTGCAATGTCTCTGTTCCTTGAACCAGCAGCTCACCCTTGGTGCTTGCAGGTGCACTGGGACTGGCTTACCACTTGCCGTGCCTGCTCCTTCCCTGTCCCCAGTACAGCCATGTTGTTCAAGAATGTCTCGCCTCTGAATCTATGTGTAGTAGTAACAAATAGGTTGAATGATAAGAAGGCTCTGTGTAAATCAGAACGTTTTGTACACATTTCTCTCCCTGAATTATTGTTGTTAATATTCCATGGACCAAACCCCTGGGTCACATCTAACCTTTAATTATCTCTTCTTTGACCCCTCTCTGCCTATTAAGAGTCCCTGCAGGCAGTCCTCCTAGGCAAACTGGCTTGGTACACCATGTTAGCTTCCTTGAAGGTAAATACAAAAGCTCTGCTAATAGAAACAAAGTAATCAAATCCAAACCTCCAGGCTGTGAATGCAGCACAGTTTCTGCCCAAGCAACTCCTGCACATTGTCATGGGAGAGGACTTTCCAAGTTTAATTTTCATAACAAGAACATGAAAGGTTATTAACAGAGGGGAACAAGGTTGACCCACTTACTTTACTGAAGGATGCTGCATCCTTTTTAAGTCAAAGGTGAAAAGAGCTGTAGACAATGGAACTGTAAATGGTGAGAGTGGCTCTCTCACATGCTCTGGGACATATTCTGTCCTCTGGACCTGTGCAACCCTCTGACCCTGCAGGCAAAATTTGGGACCAGGACTCATTATTGCTGTTGGACATGTGCAAATGGCTTCTGTTGATTGCAGCTGGTTACAGAATTCATGTGAACACTAGAATTTGGCTGTGATTCCCTGCATGTTTTGCAGTTCCTGCAGTTTCAATGACTAGAAGGATTCAGCTTTAGGAGACCTGCATGGTCACTTATTTCCCCATCCGACAGGGAAGTTTTGAATTTCTTGTTGCTATATATGTCATCTACCTCCTAAAAGTCACTCTCAATACACACCAAACTGCTATCCTCACCAAGAAGTTAAGACCTTGCTTCAGACCCAGGTGCTAACTGTACCCTCTCAGCAACACGGACCACATCACAAACTAAGTAATATGGATTATAACATCCAAAGCTCATTCACTGGCTCCTCTACCAACCTCATATATGCCATCACTTACTTAAAGTGCCCTTCTGCTATCTGCATTGGATAGACAGGGTGATCCCTACATAAAAGAATGAATGAACATAGATCTGATCAACTTCAGAAAAACATACATTTCTGTAGCAGAACACTTTAACCGCCATGGACATTTCCCCTCACTGACCTCAGAGTGCTGGATCTTAGACGACAACACTTGAAAAACAGACTTGAATAGGAAATTGCAGAACAAGAAATCATCCACAGACTAGACTGTATTAATTATGGTCTAAACCAGGGGTGGGCAATTATTTTGGGCAGAGGACAGCTTGCCAAAAAACATTCAGTAAGCAGCCAAGGGCCGCATGGGTAACCCTGCCCCCAGTCACCATCTTACGACCAAAAGTCCTGCTCCCTAACCCCTGACCTTTGCCACTAGAAGTCCCTCCCCTTGCCCCCAGAAGTATTCCTTTCAGCAAGGGGTTCTGCCATCTCAGAACCAGAAAAATACCAAATTATAGTCTAAAAAGCTAACATCTACAGCATTCATTGACTTGATTTTTTTTCAAAAAATATTTTTGTCCTGATTTACATGTTTGTGTATTGTACATAGAGGTGATTGCACAATAACTTGAAATGAAGCCTTACTCTTGTATGTTGCGGAGAGCTGTGTGTGTGGGTAGGTATGGGGTTTGTAGGGAGGGTGGCTGGGGTTTGTGCATGGCAGTGCGAGGGGGGGCTGTGCATATGTATGGTGGTGTGTGTGTGTGTGTGACTCGCCCTATGAACACACACACACGCGCACACACCCTCATATCAGTGCAGTCCTGTGCTCCTCAGTCTGGTGATGCAGCTGGGAGCCACATGGTGCTGGAGCAGGGCAGGGACAGGAGAGCAGGGAACTGGCTGGGGGTGAAGTGGGGCTGGGTTGCTCAAGGGCTCCCTCTGGGTCCTACTGCCCCTGGCTCCTGTCAGTTTTGACAGGCTGCCAGGAGCAAATAAATATTTATTTTTTTAGGGGCCCTGTATGCCGGATAGAATGGCTTGGTGGGCTGGATCTGGCCTGTGGGCCATATTTTGCCTGCCCTGGTCTAAACCAAGATTACTGGTTCTTATCACATTACTTGTCTTGGCTTTTATAAGCCTCAATGAGTTTACTACTTTGTTTTTTCTTTCTCCTCCCCATCTTGCCTATCCCCAGTGTCCCCTTCTTTTTCTTCCATCCCCACCCTTTGTATTCTAATCACTACTTTCTATTTAGAAGCTGTGTTTCCTGCAGTCCCTTCACAGTCTCTGATAAAGTATGCCTACTGCTCATGACAGCTTATGCTAATCACCTCAGATTTAGTTAATCATAAAGTGCAAATCTATCCTGCCTTCTGCCTGACTTCAGACTAACTTCTCTGCTTATAGACACTGGCCACTATTTGTTCCTTAAATATGATTTACTTTCTTACCATGTTGGTTGTCCTGGCAGGATTCCAAAGTGCTCAGCAAGATTTTTCCCAAGGCTCGCTTAGATATGTTCTTTAAAACACAAAATAACAATTATCTCTTTCATGAAGTTAAATATATCCAACTACATCTGAAAATATGGAAAGTGTGTTCGCATTGAAAATGGAAAAACAAAATGAAATTCAGTCCAACAACATAACTTATTTTTGGCATATTTTCAAACCAGCAGGTGAAGATAGATACTGCACAGCCAAAAGCAGATTTTAGGATGCCAGATCCTTAGCTTGGCTTTACTAAGGGAATCTGTAATACAGTTCTGTAAGGGAAACAAAGAATATACAGCAAAGCTTTCAAAAGCTTGTGCCCTCATAAATCTAGATGTTTATTCACTTCATGGACTGCAAGCAGGAGATGAGCAAGCTGAAAACAATTAAAAGCCTGGCTGAGATCATGCAGAACCTGTGTATTTGGAAGGTGAGTGGTATCATACATAACTTATGGGTGGCTTCTCAGAAAAAGGCACACTTCCCACTAATATTTAAAATCATGGTGCCATTTTTAACACCTACAAGGCAGGAGTGGTTATTACATGTCCCATTCCAGAGACCCAGCAGGAGAAATTCTTTTTCAGCCTCCACTGGCTGCTGTTTATGGAAAGTATTAACCATTAGCCTGACTGACAGTATCTCAGTCTTAGAACTAGTAGATGGTTGCCTTTCCATCCGGCCCCATACACTTGTACATGTCCAGCTTTTCTAAACAGTCTCTAACCTGTTCTTTCACCACTGTTGGCTGCTCACCTTCTCCCCAAATCGTGCTGCCCAGTGCAATAGTCTGGGAGCTGACCTTGCCTGTGAAGACTGAGGTGAAAAGGCACTGACAACTTTAGCCTTTTCTGCTTCCTGTTACAAGGTTGCCTCCCCCATTCAGTAGGGAACTCTCACTTTCCCTGCTCATCATCTTGTTTCTGACATACTTGTAGAAACCCTTCTTGTTACCCTTCATGCCCCTTGCTAGCTGCAATTCCAATTGTACCCTGGCCTTCCTGACTTCATCCCTGCATGCCAAATCAATACTCTTATCCTGTTATACACTTGGGTGTTAGAAGTGCATAACCCCCTTATAACCTCTATTTTGAGTTTTCAGTGGTGTGAGAAGATATTTGGCTCTAGATAAGCACTGCTTTCTAGAAGGTTCCTACACCTGCATCATGCATCGAAAGTGAATATGCAGAGGGAAAACACTACAAACTACAATGACCTGTGAATAAGCTTTCTTGCTCTGGTCTAAAGTGCATCTTACACAGGAATCCATGGCACGTTCTTTCGGCTGTGTAGGGAAGGCTGTAAATCATCATCGTCATTGACATTTGTTCACTGTCCTGCAGCTGTGGAACATGACAGCACACAAGGTATTCTTTCTAGTGATATCAAATCCAACACTGACTTATTTGGGCTTATTTTCAAACCAGCAGCTGATGATATAAACACTGCATAGCCAAAAGCAGCCTCTGAGATTCCAGATGTTTAGCTTTGTTTTACTTTGGGAATCTGTAATTGTTGTAAGGGAAATAAAGAATATATGGCAAAGCTTTCAAGCATACAGTTAAACAAACATATGTTTAAGCAGTATTATAGCAAGATATGGCACAGTGTATGATGGATCATCTCCTAGGCTAGAATGATTTTCAACACTGCTGACCAGTGAATGACATGTCAATGTCATGACACTGAGTTGTTATGCTTGCTGTCAATCACAATCAGTCATTCTTTGCCAGTTTAATAGTACATCCTTCACTGGATTGTTATTGATGCATGCAGTGTCAGACTTGAGATGTGAAAGTAAAACTGGTGCTGTCAAGTGCTAAAGGAAGTTACTATAATGTGAGATATTGCACTTGATCCCTGAAGTCAGCAGTGGAACATAAGTATACTTCAAGCATAGTAAAGTGACCATCTGAGGCAACAACAATCTAGTCAGACACACTGATTGGCTTTGCAGAAATCCCAAATAGTAAACCAAGGAATTAACTTCCAAGGGTGCAATGTAAATGTGTATAGCTTCAAAATGTTATCTTACTTGCCCACCTGTTAGCCAGTTCTCATCACCCCCACCCCCCACAAAAAAAGAGCAGTATGTATAATATTAGTGTCGTTTTAGGCTTTAGCCAGATTGCTTTGGGCTGCAGTTCCCTCAGCTCCAACACATAAAGTAGCCTCTGTTTGAGTTATTACATGAGAGACTTCCCTAAGCATCACTGGTGATGCAAAGACTGGGCTTGCTTTTTCAATAACTTGTACACTTCCCACTGAATGAGTACCCACTCATGATGCCGCTGGATATGTTAGAATGGGCTGTCCAACTGGTGGCCCATAGACCACACGTAGCTCACAAACACCTAATGTATGCCCTGTGGGTCTTGGTCTACCACCTGAGCAGCCTGCATGGCAGAAGAGAAGGGGCAATATGCCACCAACGGATCCTATATGGGGGCAGCAGGCTGTGTGCCACCAGAGAATCCTGCATGACAGGTGGGAGGGAGCTGCATGCCACTAGTGTGAGGCTCTGGGTCAGCAGCAGATCCCCCGTGACAGGGCTGGGGGGGGTGGCCAAGCTGCATGTCACTAACAGATCCTGCACAGGGGATTGGGGGCTGCATGCTGCTGAGTGATCCTGCATGGAGAGGTAGAGGGTTGTGTGCTGTTAGTGGGCTACACACCACCACAAGAACCCACATGGGTCTGTGTGCCCCAGTACAGCCTGTTCAAGGAGGAGGAACCTGGGTAAGGGTGCTGCCCCCACCATGTGCCACCTGTGTGGTGTGCAGCTTGAAGGCTACATGATGGCACCTCCTTGCAGCTCCCACCCACAGCAAATTTGGACAAGCCTCTGCTAGAAGACTAAGTTCATAAACATCTCTGGACACTACATCTCATATTTTAATGAGGTATAAATCCTAGCTTGAATGTTGCAGTCTCCCTAATTCCTCTCTCTAGTTTAAATTGAACAATAAAATCTTCATATCTGTGCTATAACTGGTGTGTAATATAGCTGAGACTTGTTACAGCAGAGCTTTACTTCACCCCAGCTCAGACTGTAGATCAGAGGCAGACAATGTGATTTCAGAGTGAAAGAGGTGTGTGTGTGTGTGTGTGTGTGTGTGTTTAAAGTGCTCTGGAATGAAAGGTACTACAGAACCATAAGGGAGGGCTATGGCTCGTCATTTCGTGTCTCAATGAACAGGTGAATGTGGGTGGTACATTCTGATATCTGACAGACACAGGCCCTTGAAAGTGGTCGCCATTGTATCATAAACCTATAATAATGTCACTGACCTACTCCCAAAGATACTTCTTTAGTATGTAGAGAAAAGAAAGCCTAAACTGCTGCACCTCAGACTCCAGACAGGGAGAGGCTGCAAAGGTGGTCATTATGATGAGTACTGAAAGCCAACAGGCCACTGGTAGAGAACAGCTAAAGACAAGTAGGTGAGATATACAGGGAGTCAGACCTGAATTAAATTCACCAGAGTTGCATCTGGCTTCAGGCTTTCATGGGGAAGATTCCTACCACTCATTTCTTAGTCTCTGTTGGCTTTTCACCTATGAACCTCAGTTACATATAAGAACATGGGACTGGAAAGGGCTTCTCAGGCCATTAAGTCCAGTCCCCCACATTCACAGACAACCATTTACTGGAATCCTCAACATTTACAGTTCCAGCCCTTGCACAAGTAAAAAACAAAATTCAAATACCACAAACGCTCTATAACATGCTACAGGTAAAATCAGGGGAGATGGATACTGCCAAGGCCTCATCACACTACAATGACAGGAAAATAGTTGGCTAATATGTTCAGATCTAAGAAATGAGACATGGCCCACACTACAGAGGAAGGCAAAACATCCACCATGGTTTCATCTACATGTGCAATTAAGATGCAGCAATAAACTCCAGCACAGTTTGCACTGGAGTTTATTGCTCCTGAGTGCAGCATTTACATGCGCACCTGGGACTACAGGATGGACTCAGGAGAGACTGATGGGCCTAGGGTTGGGGAGGACCAAGTTAGGGAACTTCTGGAGAGGCTGGACGTGTTCAAATCAACAGGTCCACATGCTTTCCACCCCAGGGTGCTGAGGGAATTGGCAGGGGTTATTGAGGGGATCCTGCCACGGCTTTATGAGCACTCATGGTGCTCTGGCCAGGTGCCAGACAACTGGAAGAGGGCCAATGCAGTCCCCATTTTCAAAAAAGGGAGGAGGGAGGACCTGGGCAACTATAGGCCCGTTAGTCTTACTTTGATCCTGGGGAAGGTCTTTGAGAAGATTATCTAAGAGCACATCTGGGAAGGACCGGCAGGGAGATGATGCTCAGGGGCAACCAGCATAGCTTCATTAGGGGCAGGTCCTGTCAGACCAACCTGATTGCCTTCTATGATCATGTCACAAAATCATTGGATGCAGGTGTTGCAGTGGATGTAGTCTTTCTGGACTTCAGGAAAGCCTTTGACACTGTTTCCCACCCCATTCTCATTAAAAAGCTAAGTGACTGTGGCAATGATGCCTACACAGTGAGATGGATTGCAAATTGGCTGAGGGACTGCACCCAGAGAGTAGTGGTAGATGGGTCATATTCGAGCTGGAGGGATATGGACAGTGGGGTCCCCCAGGGCTCAGTCCTTGGGCTCGCCCTGTTTAATCTCTTTATTAGCGACTTGGACGAGGGGGTGAAAAGCACCCTGTTCAAATTCGTTGATGACACCAAGATCTGGGGCAAGGTGGGCACTCTAGAAGGGAGGGACAGGATACAGCTGGACCTGGACAGGTTACAGGGGTGGGCAAATGAGAACAGGATGGGATTCAATACTGACAAGTGCAGGTTACTGCACTTGGGCAGTAAGAACCAGCAGCATACCTATAGGCTGGGGAACTCTCTTCTTGAAAGCACAGTGGCAGAAAGAGATCTTGGAGTCATTATCGATTCCAAAATGAACATGGGCCACCAACATGAGGACACTAACCGCATCTTGTCATGTATCCACAGATGCATCACAAGCAGGATCAAGGAGG